TGCAAAAAAAAAACATGAAATTCTATAAAATTCTTAGAATTATTTAGTTGTATTAATTTTTCATTTTTACTAGCCATCGAAGTTATCGAGAAACCAATGTACATATATATATACATATATATACTTCATCGGAGTAATGTTAAGAAAATTCAATAAAATTTGAGGTTATTTTGTCCTACATTAGGCATTGTATATAAAAGACATAGTAAATGAAGAATAAAATGAAGTATAACGGAAAGTATTTAGAGATGAAAGACAGCTTGAATGAATTTTCTACGAGTACAAACCACGCGAATTCAAACAGGTCAATATCAGAAAGTACAGTGCCCCTAATCGATCAATGACAGTCCATTGGAGTCTCATTGGTTTGTGCTTGCTGAAAATGCTGCTCTTAATTACATGCCGCGACTGTATTTAATATTCCGTCGAACGCGTCATAATACCATTATTAAGACATCACACATATACGTTTGTAGAGATACATTAGTAATTAACAAACGTTTTGAACACCATCTTCCTACTAACCTTAAAACAAGTTTCGAATTCGTAGCGTAGTATCGATAAAGTAGTTGCACTAATCGTTAGCAATATCTTATTATATTTAAAGAAAGAAATTAGTAAATGCAACGAAATTTCGGATATTATTAGACGTATTATAAGAATCTGCAGTGTGATATGGATTGCTTTAGAAGAGAAAAGTATAATCATTGATAGCTTCGACTCTTTTCGTATGTATCACGTAATCGATGGTAACGAGAATACGATTCTGTCGCTGGTAGCACTGGTAATGTATGCAGGGTGATCTGTCAGAGATGGCACACCTGATTATTTCCTTTTCCATTGCAGCTACGAAAAAAAGTAAACATTAAAATTGTTTTTTCAAAGAATGTTATTTTTTAAATTACATTCGAATCGAACGATTTTTTTGTTTTCAGTATATTTATAAATTCGAAATATGATACATTATGAGAAACATATTTTGAGCGAATTAAAATATTGATAGGCACTAAATTGAGTATTTATTATCTGTATCTTAAGTATTTACGTGTAATTATAATTTTGACATTTTACATTCTTTTCGTCTTTAACAGCAGACAAAATATTTTCGTGCTGTTTCTGATGTACTACTCTATGTACGTATATACTGTTTCAGAATGTACGACGTTTTAAAGAGGTTAATTTGCGAATGTTTTGTCCGCGTTCTTCGTGCGTCGAAAACCAAAACAGCTGGGTTCGTTCCAAGGAATATGTATATTCGAGTGCACGTTGCCGACGCGTTACTAATTAGATAATAGATGGCGAGGAGTTTTATTTGTTTTATTAGATAATAAATATTAAGATACGTAATATCGACGCGCGCGCCACGCATACGAAGACTCCTTTTACGCAAAGACTGTTTTACTTCGCGTTGTGTCTAAAGGACTGTTTTTGTCCCGATGTTGCACACGCGGGGTTAGATAATAAAGCATATCAGGATCGGATTATCGGGTATCCAAAACTGGGCGTACGCATGAAACACGATACGTTCGAAACGAATTGTCGTGCAACACAGTATTCGTTTGACACGATCAAGACACGTTTCCATGGTAAATTTTACCGAAAAACATCGATCCGATACTGAATGCTCATAACTCGATTCGATTCGATATATTCGTTACGATCAGATGAGCGGATCGTAGATAACGACGTAGAAAGTACATTGTCGCAATGACTTCTGTACTTATGTACTACATAATATAGAGGTACACGCTGGTCGAACGTTTTTTTGAATACCGCTACCGATACTATTGTACAAATATTTAACGCGAAACCATTTTTAAGAAATTTTCTCTACGTATGGTCGTCCAATTTGAAAAAGAAAAAAGACAAAAAAATGAGGATAATTCGCGAATCGTTCGAACGTCGAAATATTTTAGTAGATATTCGTTACGATAGCGAATTATCTGCGCTACAAGTCGACCAATCAAACGATACGACGGGTCAAAACCCGTATTCGCAATACACTAATAGCAATAGATGTCCTGTGTTTTTATACGCGCCTTCTTTTCGATGCGTGTCAATGAAATCCAAACACAAAGAACGAGGGACGAATAGTGGGGCGCTGGCATCGCTAAATCGCACCGCGCGATGTGGCATTTCGTACGCACTGGAATACCTACGACGTGCATTGTTCGATGAATCATTTTTGTTACCCGAACTAAAGTACGGATTGTACCGTGTATCTCCGTCGATAATATGCTCTGCCGACAAATTATAACACATACCTTCGTGGAACACACGAACGCGTCCGTTTCGATAATGCAATTTTGTCTTGCAGCAACGGGCCTAACCCCAAATTACGAAACATTTGCGCGTGCGGAAAACGTTAAACGGAAAATCGTTTTTTCTGTTACTTTTGCAATTACTGGGAAACGTGTAATTATCGAGGTAATCACGAGCATAGAAAGCGTATTATATTTTATAGATTCAGTAACTTCGTCATTAACATCGTCGTTACCTTTATTCAGTGACCATTCATTCGTGGACCTGTGTGTAATCGAAGCTGTTCGTTGTTTTGTAAATTTATGTATATTTATGGAAGGCACGTGTTACGTAATAACCATGTATCTCCAAATGGATAATAAAAATGATCAAACACTTAAACGATCATCATAATGTACTCCGGTTTGTAATACTTTTTATTACGGATATACGTTATCCGAAAAGTTTGCTATTTCGAATCGAATTCGATCGGATAATTATCGTTGCGTCTGTCTTTCGCTCACTCACTCGCACGCTCGTTCGCTCCTTTTCGCTATCTTCGTTTCCATTGACATTTTTAATATGCAATTTTGTGACAGGGTATAATCAAACTTCTAATTAGAGGTTAGCAGCATATGTTACCGTTGAAACACCATCTCGCGAAGTTCGATTTTTTTCGACCTTCGTACATAAGGTATAGAGGGCGCGTTTAATCAATTTTACAATGGAGAATCGTATTTAATATTTTGATTATGTTAGCGAAAACGATTCTTGGTAATCGATCGAACTGATTACGTATTTCGTGGTTTCTTTGTATATTTATGATCTTCGATTAAGAAAATTATTTGGGTACAATTATACCGATACCGACGAAAGAATTTCGATTGTTATATCGATTATTGATTGGTTGTGGGGTCTGTATCGATAAGTGCGTCTGTAAAGAATTGGAAGAATTCTCGAAAGTGTAGGTAAAGATGTCTCGTCAAAGTGAAATGACAGGAATCGACAAGTACGTTAAAAGTACGCTTCAACGTAAACAGGAAAGTTGTCCTTAAAGTTGTATTTATATTCTATCAAACGTAATGCAATGACGATAGTGAAAATATATTTGCAGCGTAGAAATAAGCAGCTACATAAAAAGGAAAAAGGATAAGACATTGCAAGGTTGAAGAAATGAATTTATCGTGTACTATAAGAAGACATAAATATTTAACGACAAATAAAAAATCTCAAGCTATCCATACGCTAGCCGAATATTGTATAAGCCTTTTGAGATCATTGTTATTATATATAAAAATCAATATAAATGGTAGAAAGTAGTTGATCAATCGACGACGACGACGATGACGATGATGAGGAACGAGATAATAATATATTGTAGTCATATACGATTAACATTATTAAACATTATATTTTATTAATTATTACGTATATGTTGTATATATAATAATGACCAGTTATTATTATATATATACACATATACCAATTCGAAAATATATACATAGATATACCTATGTAAGTATTGTGTTACATAGAATATATGTTATTATGAATTCTTCTGCATTATTGTTTTTCACCATTTACACCTTCTACTCGTTAAATGACATTACTTAAGTAATTTTTAAGGTATTAGTGGTCATTAAGTTGTCTCAATATAATTGGGAATAGTAACCATGTGTAATATGGACAAATGATATACTTAATGAGATATATGCGATTGAAATGGCTTGTTTCACGTAAATATATTTTTACGTAAACAATTAATCAACTGCAGTCAGTGAATCACATTTAAAGAAACATGTTCCTTCGTAATAAATACGCTCGTGGATGATTAAATGTGTTTCATGATAATTATAGCATTGTATACTTGTATATGATAATTGTATTTTAAAAGTAAAAAAAAGAGTTAGAAAGGTATCTTTTAAAATAAAGGCTACATCCTTAATTTGAAGAGAAATAGTGTTTCTCTTGTTGCTTGTTATCTATATCTTATATTTTATACAGTTTATATTTCATATATGTATATATTTTATGCAGTTTTATAAAACATTATAAAATATTATGAATTCACTATATAATTTAATAT